TCCGCGCGATTTTCGCAATTCCGGGTGGCCAAGCCCGAGGTCCGATTCGACCACCCGGGAAAAGTCGATACCCTTAGAATTAAGTTTCCGGTTTTGAAATTTTCAGGGTAGATTGGGCAGCTCTTTAGCATGTCAGAACAGGTTTCAGATCGACGATTTGACATTCCAGCGCAAAGTTACAGCGTTTTGCGATTTTTGAGCTGCCCCGAAAGACATAAGCCGGCTTAGCGGACTTAGCTTTTATTAAATCGGCTTATAAGTGGTACCATTCGATCCGGCTCGTCAAGGGCTTTCAAACGAGCTATCAATCGTCGCATTCGCATCACGGAGCGGCCGAAGCCTAAGCTAAGCCTAAGCGGGCACCAACTCAAAAACTACGAAAAACACCCTGATGACGGCTGGACCAGTTCCCGCTGTCGTAGCGCCTTCAAATTACTAGGGGTGCTTTCTGAGCCTTCTAGTAGCCTAGATGCAAAAAATTGGAGCTCTAGCGCGCTTCCGCGCGATTTTCGCAATTCCGGGTGGCCAAGCCCGAGGTCCGATTCGACCACCCGGGAAAAGTCGATACCCTTAGAATTAAGTTTCATGTGTTGAAATTTTCAGGGTAGGTTAAGCAGCTTCTTAGCATCTCAGAACAGGTTTCAGATCGACGATTTGACATTCCAGCGCAAAGTTACAGCGTTTTGCGATTTTTGAGCTGCCCCGAAAGACATAAGCCGGCTTAGCGGACTTAGCTTTTATTAAATCGGCTTATAAGTGGTACCATTCGATCCGGCTCGTCAAGGGCTTTCAAACGAGCTATCAATCGTCGCATTCGCATCACGGAGCGGCCGAAGCCTAAGCTAAGCCTACGCGGGCACCAACTCAAAAACTACGAAAAACACCCCAATCACGGTTTGACCAGTTCCCGCTGTCGTAGCGCCTTCAAATTACTAGGGGTGCTTTCTGAGCCTTCTAGTAGCCTAGATGCAAAAAATTGGAGCTCTAGCGCGCTTCCGCGCGATTTTCGCAATTCCGGGTGGCCAAGCCCGAGGTCCGATTCGACCACCCGGGAAAAGTCGATACCCTTAGAATTAAGTTTCCGGTTTTGAAATTTTCAGGGTAGGTTAAGCAGCTTCTTAGCATCTCAGAACAGGTTTCAGATCGACGATTTGACATTCCAGCGCAAAGTTACAGCGTTTTGCGATTTTTGAGCTGCCCCGAAAGACATAAGCCGGCTTAGCGGACTTAGCTTTTATTAAATCGGCTTATAAGTGGTACCATTCGATCCGGCTCGTCAAGGGCTTTCAAACGAGCTATCAATCGTCGCATTCGCATCACGGAGCGGCCGAAGCCTAAGCTAAGCCTAAGCGGGCACCAACTCAAAAACTACGAAAAACACCCCAATCACGGTTTGACCAGTTCCCGCTGTCGTAGCGCCTTCAAATTACTAGGGGTGCTTTCTGAGCCTTCTAGTAGCCTAGATGCAAAAAATTGGAGCTCTAGCGCGCTTCCGCGCGATTTTCGCAATTCCGGGTGGCCAAGCCCGAGGTCCGATTCGACCACCCGGGAAAAGTCGATACCCTTAGAATTAAGTTTCCGGTTTTGAAATTTTCAGGGTAGGTTAAGCAGCTTCTTAGCATCTCAGAACAGGTTTCAGATCGACGATTTGACATTCCAGCGCAAAGTTACAGCGTTTTGCGATTTTTGAGCTGCCCCGAAAGACATAAGCCGGCTTAGCGGACTTAGCTTTTATTAAATCGGCTTATAAGTGGTACCATTCGATCCGGCTCGTCAAGGGCTTTCAAACGAGCTATCAATCGTGGCATTGGCATGACGGAGCGGCCGAAGCCTAAGCTAAGCCTAAGCGGGCACCAACTCAAAAACTACGAAAAACACCCCAATGACGGTTCGACTAGTTCCCGCTGTCCTAGCGCCTTCAAATTACTAGGGGTGCTTTCTGAGCCTTCTAGTAGTCTAAATGCAAAAAATTGGAGCTCTAGCGCGCTTCCGCGCGATTTTCGCAATTCCGGGTGGCCAAGCCCGAGGTCCGATTCGACCACCCGGGAAAAGTCGATACCCTTAGAATTAAGTTTCATGTGTTGAAATTTTCAGGGTAGGTTAAGCAGCTTCTTAGCATCTCAGAACAGGTTTCAGATCGACGATTTGACATTCCAGCGCAAAGTTACAGCGTTTTGCGATTTTTGAGCTGCCCCGAAAGACATAAGCCGGCTTAGCGGACTTAGCTTTTATTAAATCGGCTTATAAGTGGTACCATTCGATCCGGCTCGTCAAGGGCTTTCAAACGAGCTATCAATCGTCGCATTCGCATCACGGAGCGGCCGAAGCCTAAGCTAAGCCTACGCGGGCACCAACTCAAAAACTACGAAAAACACCCCAATCACGGTTTGACCAGTTCCCGCTGTCGTAGCGCCTTCAAATTACTAGGGGTGCTTTCTGAGCCTTCTAGTAGCCTAGATGCAAAAAATTGGAGCTCTAGCGCGCTTCCGCGCGATTTTCGCAATTCCGGGTGGCCAAGCCCGAGGTCCGATTCGACCACCCGGGAAAAGTCGATACCCTTAGAATTAAGTTTCCGGTTTTGAAATTTTCAGGGTAGATTGGGCAGCTCTTTAGCATGTCAGAACAGGTTTCAGATCGACGATTTGACATTCCAGCGCAAAGTTACAGCGTTTTGCGATTTTTGAGCTGCCCCGAAAGACATAAGCCGGCTTAGCGGACTTAGCTTTTATTAAATCGGCTTATAAGTGGTACCATTCGATCCGGCTCGTCAAGGGCTTTCAAACGAGCTATCAATCGTCGCATTCGCATCACGGAGCGGCCGAAGCCTAAGCTAAGCCTAAGCGGGCACCAACTCAAAAACTACGAAAAACACCCCAATGACGGTTCGACTAGTTCCCGCTGTCGTAGCGCCTTCAAATTACTAGGGGTGCTTTCTGAGCCTTCTAGTAGCCTAGATGCAAAAAATTGGAGCTCTAGCGCGCTTCCGCGCGATTTTCGCAATTCCGGGTGGCCAAGCCCGAGGTCCGATTCGACCACCCGGGAAAAGTCGATACCCTTAGAATTAAGTTTCCGGTTTTGAAATTTTCAGGGTAGATTGGGCAGCTCTTTAGCATGTCAGAACAGGTTTCAGATCGACGATTTGACATTCCAGCGCAAAGTTACAGCGTTTTGCGATTTTTGAGCTGCCCCGAAAGACATAAGCCGGCTTAGCGGACTTAGCTTTTATTAAATCGGCTTATAAGTGGTACCATTCGATCCGGCTCGTCAAGGGCTTTCAAACGAGCTATCAATCGTCGCATTCGCATCACGGAGCGGCCGAAGCCTAAGCTAAGCCTAAGCGGGCACCAACTCAAAAACTACGAAAAACACCCCAATCACGGTTTGACCAGTTCCCGCTGTCGTAGCGCCTTCAAATTACTAGGGGTGCTTTCTGAGCCTTCTAGTAGCCTAGATGCAAAAAATTGGAGCTCTAGCGCGCTTCCGCGCGATTTTCGCAATTCCGGGTGGCCAAGCCCGAGGTCCGATTCGACCACCCGGGAAAAGTCGATACCCTTAGAATTAAGTTTCCGGTTTTGAAATTTTCAGGGTAGGTTAAGCAGCTTCTTAGCATCTCAGAACAGGTTTCAGATCGACGATTTGACATTCCAGCGCAAAGTTACAGCGTTTTGCGATTTTTGAGCTGCCCCGAAAGACATAAGCCGGCTTAGCGGACTTAGCTTTTATTAAATCGGCTTATAAGGGGTACCATTCGATCCGGCTCGTCAAGGGCTTCCAAACGAGCTATCAATCGTCGCATTCGCATCACGGAGCGGCCGAAGCCTAAGCTAAGCCTAAGCGGGCACCAACTCAAAAACTACGAAAAACACCCCAATCACGGTTTGACCAGTTCCCGCTGTCGTAGCGCCTTCAAATTACTAGGGGTGCTTTCTGAGCCTTCTAGTAGCCTAGATGCAAAAAATTGGAGCTCTAGCGCGCTTCCGCGCGATTTTCGCAATTCCGGGTGGCCAAGCCCGAGGTCCGATTCGACCACCCGGGAAAAGTCGATACCCTTAGAATTAAGTTTCCGGTTTTCAAATTTTTAGGGTAGATTAAGCAGCTTCTTAGCATCTCAGAACAGGTTTCAGATCGACGATTTGACATTCCAGCGCAAAGTTACAGCGTTTTGCGATTTTTGAGCTGCCCCGAAAGACATAAGCCGGCTTAGCGGACTTAGCTTTTATTAAATCGGCTTATAAGGGGGTGCCATTCGATCCGGCTCGTCAAGGGCTTCCAAACGAGCTATCAATCGTCGCCGTCGCATCACGGAGCGGCCGAAGCCTAAGCTAAGCCTAAGCGGGCACCAACTCAAAAACTACCAAAAACACCCCAATCACGGTTTGACCAGTTCCCGCTGTCGTAGCGCCTTCAAATTACTAGGGGTGCTTTCTGAGCCTTCTAGTAGCCTAGATGCAAAAAATTGGAGCTCTAGCGCGCTTCCGCGCGATTTTCGCAATTCCGGGTGGCCAAGCCCGAGGTCCGATTCGACCACCCGGGAAAAGTCGATACCCTTAGAATTAAGTTTCCGGTTTTCAAATTTTTAGGGTAGATTAAGCAGCTTCTTAGCATCTCAGAACAGGTTTCAGATCGACGATTTGACATTCCAGCGCAAAGTTACAGCGTTTTGCGATTTTTGAGCTGCCCCGAAAGACATAAGCCGGCTTAGCGGACTTAGCTTTTATTAAATCGGCTTATAAGGGGTGCCATTCGATCCGGCTCGTCAAGGGCTTCCAAACGAGCTATCAATCGTCGCATTCGCATCACGGAGCGGCCGAAGCCTAAGCTAAGCCTAAGCGGGCACCAACTCAAAAACTACGAAAAACACCCCAATCACGGTTTGACCAGTTCCCGCTGTCCTAGCACTTTCAAATCGTTAGGGGTCGGTGGTCGGGTTGTCGGGATTTGAACGTCGGGATTTTTGCGTGTTCCCGTCTCGGTCTGCAGTTGAACACGAGAACTTTCAGGATGACAGTGTAAACTGCTTCCATCACGCCGACTGCACGCAGCCCGGTGAAAAATGTGTCTGGCCAAAGGGTACGTTGGCGATCATGGGATGGAGCGAATTGGTGGAGGATGATACCGACGGGGTGAGATTTTTTCCTGAGAGAGAGAGAAAGAGAGCGAGAAAGAGAGAGAGAGAGAGAGAGAGAGAGAGAGAGAGAGAGAGGGCGGGAGAGACAGGGAAAGTGATAGAGAAGAAGAGCTAGAAACGGACGAAGCCTAGGTGTCGCACTCCCTTTCATGATGATTTCTCTAAGCTCCAAACTGTCCCCGAGCTAAAAATGGAGCACATGCTCACTTTGCGCCGTTTACGCTCCCGAGACCCACTTTTTAAGCGTGATCAGCTGACTTCAGCTGCGCTATCCCAGCTGCTAGATCGTGGGAAGCGATGCCGTGTCACCGCCGACTGCCCCTACCAGGGCCAAATCTGCCGCTGGCAGCAGTCGAAGGGCGTCGGCTTCTGCAAGTGGATACCATGGGAGCCGGAATTGTCCAAATGATGATAATATGGCTGCAATAAATGTTGATTGAGGCGCACAAATTTAGAGTCTGAAATTCACAAAAAAAAATTCTGAAACGTCGACACTATGATAGCAAAACGTTCTGAAGTGGTTAATTGCCTGGCAAATTAGCATGCCTTTTAGGAAAGCGGCTCTGCTAGCCGTTTACATAGCGTAACCGGTTGGCTTTTTGCCAGTTGTCTAGATGCGGCCTGATCCTTATCTCGTCAGGGCTGCATTAAAAATTAGTTCCCGATGGCTTCTAGAAGTTTCTTCCAGAACCCCCACGCCTCCGTGAAGCGCTTCGAGTGCAGCTTCGACTCGGACTGCCCCGATTTTCCCGAGCAGAAGTGCCAGTGGAATGTCACGGCCCACCTCTGGGAGTGCAAATGGGTGCAGGACTCCGTGAAACTGTCGTGATAAACGATAAACCTGGCCTCGAAATTTATTTAGGCTTTTTCGTCGTAGAAATAAAATGACAAGACCAGGCAAGGGTCGACAAATAAATCATCGAATTTGCATTTGCTCGTAAAAATTGCCATTTTTCAGGCATAAAATTTTCGCTAAAAGCTATGTGAATGTAAATTGTAAATTTTAGGTTTGTGGCATCTGTAAAGGTGCTGTTTTAATGGATAAATTTAATTTAGGATTTGATTCAGACCAGCTGTTGATGCAAATCAAATGGGACCAGGCAAGGAGAAGAAATAAATTATAAATTTTGCATTTGCTCGTGAAAAAGGCGATTTTTCGGGCATAAATGTTTTTTGATGAAAATCGTGGGAATGCAAACGCAGGGTAAAAGGTATTGTTTTAACCGTTAAATCTGGTTTACAAATTTATTTAGAATTTTGATCGCTACAATCTAGCGAAACCACGCAGGTCAACAAATAAATCCTCAAATTTGCGTATGCTCGTTTTTAGTGGCATTTTCGCGCGTTTTTTGATATGAAAATTTTATTATTAATATTTCAGGGCATAAAATTTTTTCTATAAAAGGTGCAGCGTTTAACAGCAGGTGAAGCAAAAAGTCATGCGTTTCCTATTGATCTTGATGCTTCTGGTTGCGGTTTTCGGCTTAGCTTACGGGGATGAAGAGGTAACCTTTCTGTTGGTGTCCTATTTGGATTGTTGTTGTTTGTAGCTTTGCACTCGCTTAAGAATCACAAGATCTTAATAAGGACTCACAAAGGATCGGCAAATACCCGGGGTTGGAATTTCGATACAGAATTCGATTTAAACGACCATGCTGTTTACGATGGCGTTTTTAGAAAATCCGGAATAGTCTGGGTTTTCCGGATAATCCGCTTCAACCTTAGCCCAGATATTGTCAAAAAGACGCAATTCGACCGGTATTTTCCGAAAAAAAAAATAAAAACACCAACCCCGGTATTTGCTGATCCATTGTCAGAAATTGCAAAGCCGTCGGAGCGGTTGCATTTGGGACAGCGATTGTGCGAAGACTGAAAGTTGCGTAAGGGCCACTTACGATCGCATGGACGTCTGGACAAGGATGTGCAAGGCGGTTAGTAACATTATCAGCAATTTATCTTAATATCGTAAATATATCGTATATCGTGACATGAATAGAGGGTGTCCCAATCAAACAACCCTCTAATTCGACGCAGAAGTAGCGGAGCGGAATGGTAGTTACACCATTCGAAAGCCCTTAAAACCGCGAATTTGCAACAATCCTCAAAACGATTATTTAATTTAGATCCGCTATTTTACACGCTTAATTTTAAAATTTTGCGGTTTTTCGGGTAGCATACGAGCTATTTTACCTCAATTTCTCCAGCAAAATGACCGGAAGTAGCCGTTAATTCGATGCAGATGCAGTTCTTTGATGTCTTCAATCCGTTGTAAAATAGCGCGTTAGAATAAAAACATGGTTTCGAAGATTTTTGCAAATTCGCCGTTTCCGCTCCGGTGCTTCTGCGTCGAGTTAGAGGGGGTGTTTTTTTTCGGAAACCCTGTACAAGTCCCAAGTATATTCAGAAAGGCCGTAAACGCCGCGACACGGTTGTATGCGCTGTTGACGACGATTGTGACGACGCCGCGGCAAAATGCATAAAGTTTGCCAACGGCGACGGTGGTGAATCGCCCCGATGTGTGGTGGTCGTTTAATAAAGTGTCAACTCATATGGATGTATAGATGTACAGAGTAACCGAAAAAACTGCTAAAACTCCGACTGCCCCGACTTTCCCGAGCAGAAGTGCCAGTGGAATGTCACGGCCCACCTCTGGGCGTGCAAATGGGTGCAGGAATCCGTGAAACTGTCGTGATAAACGATAAACCTGGCCTCGAAATTTATTTACGCTTTTTCGTCGTAGAAATCAAATGACAAGACCAGGCAAGGGTCGACAAATAAATCATCGAATTTGCATTTACTCGTAAAAAATGCCATTTTTCAGGCTTAAATTTTCGCTAAAATCTATCTGAATGTAAATGGTTTGTGGCATCTGTAAAGGCGCGGTTTTAATCGATAAATTTAATTTAGGAGTTCTTTCAAACCATTTGTTGATGCAAATCAAATGGGACCAGGCAGGGAGGAGAAATAAACTATAAATTTTGCATTTGCTCGTGAAAAAACGAGTTTTCGGGCGTATTTTTTGATGAAAATCGCGTGAATGCAAACGGCGGGGTAAAAGGCATTGTGTTCTAATCGATTAGTTTGGGTTTGAAATTTTTAGAATTTTTTTGGTTGGCTACACTCTGGCAAGACAAAGAAATAAATCCTCAAATTTGCATATGCTCATTTTGGTGACATTTTCGGGCGTTTTTGGGCAAGAATTTTACGATTTATTTCAGGAATTACGGGACATAAAACGCTTTCTATAAAGGCTGTGGCTTTTGTCAGCAGGCGAAGCAAAAAAACCATGCGTTTCCCGTTGATCCTGATGCTTCTGGCTACGGTGCTGGGGGTAGCCTATGCGGATAGACAGGTAAAAACAAATTCTGGCTGTCCTATTTCAATTTCGCCTTTGTTGGTCTCTATACTTTATCTGAAAAATTACTAGGTACTTAATAGAGATTCAGAAGCTACGAAGCCGTCGGGATTTTATCGGCTGCCAGAGGGACAGCGACTGTCGCCAGAATGAAGAATGCGTATGGTACAGCCACACGTCACGTCAGTGCGAGGCGGTTAGTAATAAAATTTATAGTTTAACTCGATAATTTTTTAAATACCGTATTCCCTCTAACTTAACCACGGAGGTTCAATTTTTTCAATCACCTCAGAGGGGGTTGTATTAGAGGGAGGGATATATTTTTCATGATTTTGAGCAATTTTAATGATTTTTAGCAGTAGCAGCAGTGGCCCTTATTTCTTCTTAAAGACAACGTCGAAAAATGTTTGTTGGGGTTATATCAGAGGAAATCTGAGATATCTACGCGATTTAGACATAGACATACATTCAGAGAGGCCGAAAACGTCGCGACACCGTCGAATGCGTTGTTGACGACGACTGTGATAGCGCCCCGGCAAAATGTATCAAGTTTAGCGACGGTGACGGCGCTGAATCGTCCCGATGTGTGGTGGTCGTTTAATAAAGTGTCAACTCATATGGATGTACAAGGTGTCCCAAAAAAATCAGCCCCTCTAACTCGAGGCAGACGTATCGGATCGGAATGGTAGTTACACCATTCGAAAGCCCTTGAAACGGTGCATTCGCATCAGTCTTCATAACCATTTTCTTTGCAGTTGGTTTTTTTTGTAGCTGCAGTTCTTTGAAAGGTTTTATCCCAAAATTTTGGAAGATCGTTTCTCCGATAAAAAAATGGAAGCACAGAGCGAAACAAGAAAATGAATAATAGAATTTTAACAACCTGCTGATTTCTTGCATGACGAATTCACGCGAACCGTAAAAAATACAGAATTTTTATAGGTTCGGGGTTTTGTTGTTCTTGGCATGCGATTTTCACTGAAATGTATTTTTTATTATTTTGAGAGCGTGTGCCAGCAAATTTTTGGTATAAAATCAAATTCCTCTTTCAGCCGTTTGAGAAAAACATGCGTTTCTTGGTGATCCTAATGCTTGCGGCTACGGTGGTCGGCTTGGCCTATGGGGAAGACGAAGTAATTTTTCTTTTTCTGACTTTGCATCGATTCCCTCCAGGATAACAGGCATTGAACAAATTTTCAGAAGTCTCGAAAGCGCCGAAACTTTATCGAGTGCTCGCACGACGGCGATTGCGGCAGGAACCAAATTTGCGAATGGTCGGAGAATGGCCTGGGCGCCCGATGGAGTCGATGTGTCGATGGCGAAGTAGGTTTTTAAATTATTGCTATTAACTTTATTTGAGATTAATTAAAATTATAATTTTTAAATTTTTAAAAGTTTCATTTTCTCTAGCATTAAAATTCGTTATATTTTTTTTGAAGCTCTACCGAGTCGCGATGATTTAATCCCCAAAAATAGGGAAATATGGAAAAAACTACATTAAACTCGCTCATAAGCCCCCCCCCCGCTAATGAACCAGAACACGCAAACAAAAGCGGTTAGAGTCTCGCGATCCGGCTTTTTAAGGCTCGGACTTTGGAGATATTGAGCTTTTAAGAACCTGGCCTTCGATTTATCCGATTCACCATTATTGGCTACGTCCATTTCATCGTATTTTTGTTCAGAAGCCCCGAAGTCGTCGTGGCGCTGTGTCGTGCCGTCAGGACAGCGAGTGCTGGAAATATGGCCCGAATTCAAGATGCGCGGTGTTGGGCGGAGATTTGTGGGGCAACGGTGTATGCGTCGGCTGACGTTAGTGTTCAATAAAACTGCGATTTTTTCGGGTATTTCAACATGAAGATAAGTACAAAAAGAATTAATTTACAGTAAAAATTGTGGGGTTGCCTGAAATTTGAAAATAAAAAAAAAATGTAAAATTTGTTTCCATGTTTTTCTATTTTTTTTAAACTAATCGGCCTAGGGGATGTAGATCCTAGGCCCAATCATCCTAAGATTTTGGCCAAAATTTCAATAAATTCATAATCACTGATTCCCGGCTCCGACATACCGTATCCCGGAAAAAATGCGCGATTTATCGTGGGAATTTGGCAATAAAATTTTTTTGGATTTATACCAGCCAGCCCCTTGCGAGAAACGTATCTGAAAATGCGATTCCTGCTCGCTGTCCTCCTGCTGGCTACCGTAATCGGGCTTTCCCTCGCACGAATATGCGAAATTTTTCCTACCTGCGGGCGGGGGAAGCGTGCTGAACGACCGGTGGGGGACTTGGCTTGACTGCTTTGAACGGCTAGCTAAGCCTACGCCAAGCTCAGCTAAGCCTAAGCCTAATTCAAAGGCTAGGACTAAGCCTAAGTTCAGCCTAAGACACAGCTAAGACTAAGCCTAAGCCTAAGTCATAGCCTCAGGCTGAACGTAAGCCAAAGCCTAAGCCTAAGCGAAGCATTAGCTGAAGCCAAAGCCAAGCCTAAGCCTCACTGTAAAGTGTTTTTACTCAGGCTGGCGTTTTGGCATGGGACCAAGACTATCTTGTTCAGAATTTTTTGCTGATTCCGAATCCGTTTTCCAAATTTGCTGCGGACTTCGCGTTGAAAAGTCATTTTTGGTCTAATTTAAGCTTAAAAAGGGTATGAATTCGGATACTGGCCCACTATTCCCTGCCTGGGTCCAGGTATAGTTGTGGCCCTTATCTACCCTCCCGAAGCCCCCTATCCAGTTGGCACCATGGTGCATCGGTAGGCTGTTCGCTTGCCAGGCACAGGGCGGCGGTTCAATCATCGCCCTGCACAATTTCTTTTGCTTGTTGCACAACAACGCATGATTTTTTGCATAAAATCGCGCTTTGACCTCTAAAACTGTTACCGAGCCAGTTTTAACCTCGGAGGTGACGACAACTTAAAAAATAGCGCAAAAAAATCCAGATTTAGTCAATTTTTTTAACCTAAATGTCGAATAACTTTTTAAATAAAGGTCGGCAGCAAATTTGGAAACCAGATTCGGAATCAGCGAAAAATTCTGCACAAGATAGGCTTGGTCCTATTCTAAAACGCCAGCCTGAGTAAAAACACTTTACAGTAAGTCTAGGACTAAGCAGAAGCACATGGCTAAACTTAGAACTACAGGGTGGCCAGAAAAAAAAAGTGCCTGGTTTGCACTGAAATATCTCGCTAGGGGAAACGAATCAGACCATCGTTACCTTGCCAGAATGCTTAAATATGCTGGGTATGAAGAATCAACACAAGTTGTTTTTTACGATTTTTGACGACCCACTACTCGTTAAGAATTTTTGAACATTTTAAAAAAAGTTGAAAACTTTGAAGCGATAAAGTCTGCAACTTTTGATGAGTTAAGGGGATATGAAGGGTATCAAAATGAAGCTCTCGGAATGCGCTATTAAATCAGTGGTAAAGATTATCGATCGGTTTAACTAACCGTCAATAGGGAGCCTTCGGAAAATCGGCACTTTTCCAGAAGGGGCGATTTCCCGTTGACCACAAAAAGCCCATTGTTGCCATAACCTTTTGTACTCGTTACATGTAATCCTGGTTGCCAAAGATAACGATGTTATAATTTTAACTATAGGAGCCTAGAAGTTACAAATTCGGTCGAATTGGCAAAGTGCCAAAAAATTTTTTGATCGCGATTTGAAAATTTTTGATGCCTAAAGTTAGTAGTTATATATCTATTGCTAATTGCAAAATATCAGAAGGATCGGATGGTAAAGTAATTTTATCTGGAATTATTTCCCCAAAAAGTACGGATTTTCCGAACGCTGCTATTAACGGTTAGTTAAACCGATCGAAATTCTTTACCGCTCGTTTGATAGCGCATTCCGAGAGCTTCATTTTGATACCCTACACTTTACTATAACTCTTCAAAAGTTGCATACTTTATCGCTTCAAAGTTTTCTATTTTTTCAAAAATGTTCAAAAATTCTTAACGAGTCGTCAAAAATCGTAAAAAACAACTTGTGTGTCGAAAAGATTGAGCCTCCGAGCCCTCCCAGAGTGTAAATACACCAAGGAGAATAAATCCCCAAGGGAGGACCCGGATTGCCACCTCAGTCTTCCGGCCCTGTCTGCACTCATTATCAGTTATGCGCGTTCGGTGTTCAGTGGTAGTAATAAAGTGCATTTGCTAAAGACCTGCAAAGGATTAAGAGAACATGTTTATTAGAACAGTGACGGAATATAATCGGGCACATGAGAAAAGGTGTCTGAGGAGAAATACAAGTGTCGAAGGCCAGGCGGGCCAAGTTTGGGAAAGGGTGTCGAAAGGTTGCATTCGCCAGAGGTTTACTGTGCTCCGGATAGTGGTAAACCACGTCCCCGGCTCACAGCACTCTCACCAAGCCGTGCCGAAGCAACGACTGGCCGCAACACCCTTTCGGGATAGCGGGGGAATATGCAAGCATAATCACAGAGAGCGCCGGGAGGGCGCTCACACAGCCCGCTACCGTAGAGGTCATCGCGGTGGGACCCCTGGCATATTGCCAACCCCTATTATCCCAGGTAATTCATCCTCGAAACTCCTAGGAGATGAAATCTCGTAGGAAAGTTTCGACACTCCCGGCCCGCGCAAGAGCCAGAAAGTGCCGCCCCCGGTGAAGGGAGCAAGGAACCTTACAAGGGGAGGTTGAGTGGGAGCCTCGCGGCGGCCCAAGAATTTACAAACAAGTCCGCCCGGCGGGGGAAAGGTTGGGGTACAGAGGGACCAATAACATGGTAGAGAATGTTCTGCACTGTGGGGGCGGGAGGACGAAAATGGGTTAGATAAAAGCTAGGGGAGGGGCAAATGACAAAAAAAAGTTGGGCGGCGCTAAGGAGCCCGTACTCCTGCCGAACCAACTGGGGAGAGGGGAGGGGATGACTTATCGGATTTTCGGCAGCGGCTGGCGTGTAGTGGACTTGAGGCAAGCTGGCGGTCGAGAAGAGGCTTGTGGCACTTCGCGTCGATGTCGTCTTGCGAAGTGTTGTCGAGCTGGTACTCTTGCATCTCGAGCAGCCGGCCAGGTGAAGTTGTAGGCGAGCATGGCGAAGGTTCCGAAGAACCTTGAGAGGGTGTCGAGTGGTGGTGGGGAGGAATCCTCTCACGAAACCTCCTTGTCACCAGGTAATGTCGTAATGCAGTAAGGCGGTGACGCGAACTTGAATAACGTCTCGGCTATGGCTAGGGGCACTAGCTGGCTTGTCGCAGTAGGGACGAAGGTTGACGCGTCGAATGATGGTCCTTTTGAAAACGTCGAAGTCGCAGTTGGGGATTCGCGTCAGAGCGGCAGCATGGACTTGTCGCTGGCACTTTGATGGGGCGGTGGCTTTGAACTTGTCGCAAGCAGTCGGACGAACTGGTGGACTTGTCGATTGAACGGCTCGCGGCGGCCCAAGTAGTGGTCCATCAACCGCAGAATGGCGTGTAGCTTCGCAGGTGGCTCATGCAGTCGTGCAGGAGTGTCGGCTTCATCAAGTAGCGACTCATCTCGCAGCAGGCGAGAAGCCAAAGAAGCAACGAATGCGAACGGCACGGCTACCGCACTCCATCCACAAGGCGTTGTTCTGGAGCTTGAAAGTTTGAAACGGCGACGTTTGATTGAAGAGGCTTGATGGAGCTTCTTGTCGAGTGAAGTCGAGTTTGAGCGCTTGAGTGTTGAAGCCTTGCATCCGGCTGTTGGTGTCGTAACGGAACTGCTGACTGTAGTCAGGGCAGCGGCGTGAAGTTGTCGCTGTCGCTGTGTTCAGGACGACAGCAGCTGCAGAAGTGATGAACTTGGCACTTGAAGTAGTCAGCGGTCCATGTTGTATTCCAGCTTGGTGGAAGAAAAGCAGTGCGGGAACAATCGATGTCGACGCAGTTGTCGAACTTGGCGCGTGCAGCTTGAAGAAATCCTGATATGCAGACTTGTCGATCCAAATGCTCGCGGCGGCCCAAGTTCCGTGTGGATACGCCGGAAGTCGAAGAAGTTGAATAGGTAGTGGTGACCGCGACGGAATGTCGCCGCCGTAGTCGTACTTGTCGAGGAGGCGGCAAGAATCACGCTGAACTTGCTAGTTGAGCTTGGCTCTTCCTTCAACTGCAGGCGAGGCGAAGTTGTGGAGGCAAGTCGGGCTTGTAGACGGGGTGAAGAGACGAGTTGCGCAAAGGCGAGACCAGCTCCGTGTTGCAACGGGGGCCAGCTGTCTCGAAACCACCGTCTCACAAGTCGCTTGATTGTGGAAGTTGTTCTTGTCGTCAGCACGGCGAGGCGGTCTTGAACCATGGTGTTTCATTGGCGATGTCTGGTGCCAAAGAAGGAGAATGGCGAAGCGTGAAGCCATTTTGTCGCAGTGACGCCATTCAGATGACGTGATATCGGCAGAGCATGTGTCGTGACCGCGGCAGAATGACGCAGTGGCACTTGGGATGAGATGTTGTCGGCGCGCCCTGAAGTTCGGTGTCGGCGCGGTATGAAGGGCGGCAGCAGAATGTCGTAGTGGCGCCGCTGGAATGAGCTGTAGCTGGTGTAGGTTGTAGGCGGCAGCGACGGATGTATTCTTGTACCACATCATAGCGCAGCTTGCCGTAGTGTACGTTGGGACGATTCGCTTGAACGTTGTAGCGTGAAGCATCTTGTCGCGATCTTGTTGTGGAGCAGACGCAGCGAGTTGACTGTCGTATATGACGCGGGAGGCTTGGTCAGATGGCAATAACTGGCAGGGTTGCCAGGTGTCGCACGCTTGGATGTGGAAGAGAGCGGTGTTGTGTCCGCATTGTTGCACAGCGTGTCGCAGCTTTTTCCAGAAAGTATCTGAAAAAAAGTTATCCCGGCGGCCTCGCAAAGGCTGGACTGGCGGCAGGTGGTAGAGCCGAGCAAGCGAATTGGCGATTGGCAGCAGGGCGGCTGTGTGGACAGCGTGATGTTGGTCGCGTCCTTCTTGTTGCATGTCGCGCATGGTCCATCCCTTGTGCACGAGCGTTTGACGAAATGTGCAGCTACTTTCGCGGCACGGCAATCCGAAGAACTGATAGGCGCTCGTTGTCAGCTGGCGTTCGAAATCAGCAATAGACGAAGCGTTGGCAGATACTTGCTGACGAACGTCGTGTGGCGTGGTACGAGTGTCGCCGAACAATCGGTAGGCGTAGAGCTGATGATGCCGCTAGACAGGGGGGCAGCAGTATTGGTGGTGAAATTGCTGTCGAGCTCGAGGTCGTATCGCAGCCTGAGGCGTGGATGTTGTCGATGCATTTTAGCAGTAGTCGGCGAGCGAGCAAGTATTCAGGCGGTGACGAAGTTGATCAGGCACAAGTTGAACATGTGTCGATCGCACTTCCAAGAAACGTGTGTCAACCAGCTACCGATGTCTCGTCCCGCCGAAGAAAATGTAGTCGCCTCCGATAGCGTCAGCAAAGGCTTGAAGTGTCGCTACGCACTGGCTTGCTCTCGCATTCGGCTTATCTGAGAAAAAAGTATCAAATAAAACCTCTTGAAAGAGCGGTGGTCTGGCCAAAGCGAAGCTGGAACATATCCTTGTGGTTGCTCGCAGATCGGAAGCTTGATCGAGGACTCGTCGGCGTGGCTGATCGTAGCTTGAAGTCCAAACATTGTTGCGGCTGACGAAGGTGGCACTTGTAAGTCCCATCCACACAGAAAGTGTCGCGAAATTGTTGGCTTGCGCCACCAACCCTTGACAGCAGTCTGATCGAGGCACAAAGCGATGTCCCTGGTGTTGAACTGCTTGCACGTAGAGGTCTTGAGTCAAAGACGCATGGAGGCGTTTCTGGGGGCCGCGTCGTGTAGTAAACTTCAGTGTCGCCCGTTGGAGAGGAATGAAGCATCTCGTACGGCAGGAGGAACATGTTGTAAGTTGGCACAGGCATCAGACGATCCTTGATGTGACAAACGCACTTGCAAAGAACATCGAATGTCCGATTTCGGTGTCGTAAGTCTTCGAATGGCGCAGAAGATTGTGCAGGCACAAGTCTCAACAGCATGTATCGCAGCCTTCGAAGATTGTTGTCGCCTTGTCCGGGTCTTGATGACTTGAAAGTGATCATGTCGATGGCGGCCGTTAGAAGAAAATTGACTTGCGCAGCGTTGGCCTTGAGTTGCCGGTGTCGGTGCCAGCGTTTGCGGGCATTCGCATGGCTCATCGAACGGCAGGCGGAAAGGTGGCAGCAAGTGTCACGAAGAACGAATGTCGCAACCACAGATGTCTCAAGACTTGCCTTTACAGCTGCCCAGCATGTGTTGCTGATGTCGATGCAGCGGCGCTTCTTGCACGGTGAGGGCGGCAGAAAGAAAATGCAGCTTCGAAACGGGCGGCAACAAACACAGGTCGTTGGCGAGCAGCGGTCGCTGTTGCTGTCCAGCTACCGGTGAAGGACGTGAGGCATGATGTCGATAGCGTCAGCGCCAGCTTGTTGTCGGAATGCGGGAGCGTCTCGAAATGTATGACGCAAAGCCCGGTACATTTGCTCTGTTCGATTGCGTCCGCCTGAAAAAGATGTTGAAGGCGACGCGGTGAGCAGAAGAAGAGATCCGCTTGACGTTGTCCCCGAAGAGGCTTGATGTCGCGAAAATGTGTTGAGCATCAGCAGTGCAAGGCGGCGAGTGATGCGAGTAGCGGCCAACAGGAGTGCTGACATCCGGTAGAGGAGGCTTTGGCACAGTGATGTCGAAGAAGCGCAACTCTGTCCGGAAACAGTGGCAAGGCGCGGCAAGAGACGAGTTCTTGCGTGTGAACGCGTTGTTGTTCCGCATGTGTGTCGCACATCTCAAGTCAGCGCGATGGAGGTGAGGGGCGATTGTCGCTGTTGACGCTCGGCTTGTTGCGGGCGGAGACGCATGTACATCTGCTCGTTGAAGTATTCGCCACGATTGTGTAGCAGGTGTTGTGGCCGGCACAGCAAAGAGCAGGCAGCGGAGTCGCGAAGGTCGGATGCCGATGTTGCTGTAGCGCCATCGGTCAATTGTCGTCTTCCGGTTGAGTTCCAGGAACTCGGATGGAATGTCGGAGTCAGCGTGTGGTTCCATGAAAAAGTACAGGGTTGTCTCTCTTCTTCGCCTCGTGTGTCGGAGTATGCAGCAAGTAAGTCGGGCTACCATACGACAGGGTGACTTCCTTGCCCTCGTACTCCGGCTCGTCTGTCGGAGTATGCAGCATGTAAGTCTGGCTGCCATACGACAGGCTGACCTCCTTGCCCTCGTACTTCGGCTCGTAGAGGTCCTGAATAGAGTGGTGCTTATTCAAATCAAATCGGCTTCAAATTGATTTGATTTGAATTAGCAAATTTGAGTGCAAAAAAACCAACTTCAAATCAAATCGATTTGATTTGAATTAGGGGCAGCCCAACTCAAATCAAATCGATTTGATTTGTGATTTGAACAACAGGCTTATCAGGGATGCAAATTGAAAATCGGCGGTTCGGAGGGTTTTTGGTAGCGCCGTTTCAGCACATTTAGGTGTCCTTTACCATAATTCATGGGGAGTTTTGATGACATTTATATAAAATTGAGCCTGACGATTTTTTTGGCAAGATTTAGCCTGCGCTTTGGTTTTTCTTTGGAAAAGTTAACGAGTATAAACAATCGGAAATGGATAAGGAATCGTTAACTGGGACGCTGGAACAATGCTAAGAGATTATAGGGAAAGAGCGGTGCACGAATTACGAGTTGCGTTGGGTTCATTTCTATGAGATCTTATTCAAATTATTCAAATCGGCTGGATTTGATTTGAACTGGCGGAACTCAAATCAAATCGATTTGATTTGATTTGAGCGGCTCCAATTCAAATCAAATCGGCTTGATTTGAACCATTTGAATCTTATTCAAATCTGATTTGAATAAGCGCCACTCTAGTCCTGAATAGAAGATCGTAAAGGTGGGTCTCTCTTCTTCGGCTCAGGTCGGAGTATGCAGCTCGTAAGTCTGGCTGCCAAACGGCAGGGTGACCTCCGTGCCCTCGTACTCCGGGTCGTTGAGCTCATGAATGAGAGATCGTCTGCCCTGGTTGGATCCGCTGATGACTGTTCCGAACGTGTAAAAAGGTCGACGATTCGTCCCGAAGGCAAGCGGAATGACGGAGAGGTGACGTCGCAAAGCTCCTGAAGAAATATGCAACGTTGGCGGCAGTGTCGATCGACAGGTGAACATCGTGGAAGGTGACCATGTAGATGATGACGTTGTCGAACAGTGAATTGTGGTGTAGAGCGCCGCTCAGATCCGGTGTCGGCAAAAGTAGACGCGCGAAGCGGCGAAGTTGCTCGGCATGTCGCTTTCCTTGCGCCAGCTTGAGTGTCGCATCACGAATCCATTGCCATGTGTCAGTTGTCGCAAACGGCAACCTTGGAGCACCGTGGTGAGCAGCAGTAGCAGACACGGCGTTGTCGAACATGGCAGCAGAGGCTTGCAGTTGGCGTAGCCAGGCGGATGTTGTCTGCGTAGCTGGGCGAGTAGGCGAGCAGCATGGTGAGCGAAGAACGGCGTGAAGCAGTCTCGTTGTCGGGCAGTGTGAAGGCGAACGACGAACATCATCCGCGAGTGGTAGATAGTTGGCGAACAGGATGAAGAACTTCTGCCTGCGGTGTAGTTGTGCCATTTGATGAGCGCAGATAGAACGGTGCATCACATCAGCCATGCCGGTCGATAGATGACGAGTAGACGGCCATCCGGCAGCAAGTGTCTCCCGGAAACAAATGTCACATCACCACCGTGTGTCTAAAAACTGCTATACAAAGTAGAGATAAACTCTAAGTTGTACAACAAGCGAAGCGGGAAAACAAAAGTGAAAAGCCAAATCAAAACTTTGAGAAAACAATAAGAAACATTTGAAAAAACGAATGACAATACCCGAAAATTAGTCGAAGTTCGCGAACGTAGAAGTTTTTTCGGGTAAGCAAACGAAATTTCAAAAAATTTCGAATCATCTTGGCCAACCTTAGCGACGAATCGTAGGTGGCGCTCTCAAAATTTCAAAAAGAACTTTACTTTTGCACATCCGTTTCGATTCATCGAAGTAGAATGTGCGGTAGTAGATGCTTGGCATGTCCATCGAGCATTGAGCGAAGGGCAACATCTTGAGCAGCAACCTTCTTCCATAGAGCAGCTCCCTGGACCATCAGTAGTCGTGGAACACGCGGCAGGGCTGCTTGATGTCGAGCGGAGGTAGACCAGTCGTTGCACGGTATGAAGCCGAGTGTCGGGCGGCATCAAGCCAAGTGTCGAGCGGCCAAAAGCCAAGTGTCGCTTGGCGTAAAGCCGGGTGTCGGGTTTGAAAAAACTAAGGAAGATAAACTTCCAAAGTTATTCAAGGTGTCGCACAAAAAGGAAAGTGAATCAACGCGTGTGCAAAATAAGTATATGTACAGCAGAGGAAGACGCGGATAGAAATCGTGAAGCAATTCGGCGAAAGGTAGAAAGAAAGATGGGTTTGTGCGCTTCAGGCGGCCGAAGCTTCGTTTCTTGCCATCGTTTGTAGTCGAGTAGTCGCAGTCTTGATCAGCTTCTTGTGCAGCACGGGTTGTCGTTGAACGCGCGTCGCCATCGATGAGACCTTGTCGAAGCGCAGGAAGAGCTTGCGAAAAAGTGTCGAGCACCGAGGCAACGTGTGTCGATTTCTTCTTTGCAACGCCCGATGTCGTGAGAAAAGTCAGCGCCTAACTGCAAATTGATTGGCCAGTAAAAATTGCAACACCAACAGCTTTCTCAAGGCCGTGGGGCAATATCACCTCGAAAAAATTGTCGTATTTGATGAGAAGTTGTTGCACATCAATCAGCGGAAGTGTTGAAGCATCGGCAAAAGTGTAGAGTGAGCGCATATGTAGATCGGCCAGTGTTTCGAGCACGAAAACAGCTATCTCAAGGCTGTTGTTGTCGAAAACACCTCGTAGAGGGTGTCGAGTGTCGAAAAAAACTTGTGTCGAACGGCAAAAAGCCTTGAGCAGAGCTTGGTGTCGATTTGAAGCTTGTAGGCTTGTAGTCGACCGAAGTTGCCTTGATGGAAGCGCCCATGTTGTCTTCGACCATTTCGCACACTGATCACGCCATGTCGCCCGCATCCTTCTTGGGTAGATTGGGGCCAAAACGTTGTCGAGGCATGGTGAAGAGCGCCTCACAGCACGTGGAGCGAGGCCTTCCCATTCTCTAGAGCACCGCAACCGCCAGCGATGACCATTGGGCACGATTTGAAACTCTTTTCGCCCTGGAAAAGACAAAAGTAAAACCAAATAAACCTTTTAAAATGCATCCGATTGCTCCACTCGCTTTTTCTTCTAGTTTCGCAACGGCTGGACGACATTAACTTCCATCATTCCTTGGAGAAACTTCAGCTATTGCGTCTCACCCCTCCCGATTTTCTCGGGCAGCATCGCATCCATAGCTTCCATCAGTCCATATCCTGATTTTCTCTGAAAAACTGGCTCAAGGAGCCGAGAAATTCACTAACACGGCAGGCAACCAAACGAATGTTAGGTTGTTGCCCAAAGCTTACCACAAACTTACTAAACTTCATCAAAGCGACCAGATTCCATAAAGCTTGAATGCTCAGCAGAGGGCCCCAACGAGAAGGAAGGTGTCCGCGTACGACAGACCAAATGTCAGTGTCCATCCATCGCAAAACACTGCTGGCCGGCAGTGGTGTCGAAGAAAAAAACAAGTGTCGCGGGGTATATATCCGTATGTCGAGGTTGAGCAGGTCAACGGCAAAAGGCAAATGACGAGTGGCCCGGTGATCACTTCCCGGCCGACGCACCATGTCGAAAAGATTGAGCCTCCGAGCCCTCCCAGAGTGTAAATACACCAAGGAGAATAAATCCCCAAGGGAGGACCCGGATTGCCACCTCAGTCTTCCGGCCCTGTCTGCACTCATTATCAGTTATGCGCGTTCGGTGTTCAGTGGTAGTAATAAAGTGCATTTGCTAAAGACCTGCAAAGGATTAAGAGAACATGTTTATTAGAACAGTGACGGAATATAATCGGGCACATGAGAAAAGGTGTCTGAGGAGAAATACAAGTGTCGAAGGCCAGGCGGGCCAAGTTTGGGAAAGGGTGTCGAAAGGTTGCATTCGCCAGAGGTTTACTGTGCTCCGGATAGTGGTAAACCACGTCCCCGGCTCACAGCACTCTCACCAAGCCGTGCCGAAGCAACGACTGGCCGCAACACCCTTTCGGGATAGCGGGGGAATATGCAAGCATAATCACAGAGAGCGCCGGGAGGGCGCTCACACAGCCCGCTACCGTAGAGGTCATCGCGGTGGGACCCCTGGCATATTGCCAACCCCTATTATCCCAGGTAATTCATCCTCGAAACTCCTAGGAGATGAAATCTCGTAGGAAAGTTTCGACATTGTGTTTATTCTTCATACCCAGCATATTTAAGCATTCTGGCAAGGTAACGATGGTCTGATTCGTTTCCCCTAGCGAGATATTTCAGTGCAAACCAGGCACTTTTTTTTCTGGCCACCCTGTAAGCATAAGCCGAAGCCTTAGTCCAAACCTAACTCAAAGTCCAAGCCTAAGCCCAAGCCTACCCTAAGCCTAAGCACTTCAGGAACTCCGCCCTCCAACCGGTCAATGCGAAACGGACGACGACTGCTGGCACGAATTACAGACATGTACTGAGCAGGATTTTGGGTTGAAATGGTGCGAAGTGACGAGGCGACCGTTCGAGCCCCAGTGGCCCTTTTGAAAAGCATAAACGGCATCATTGATCCCGAATTTTGAGAATACAGGCTACTGGCCAGGAATAGGCGAAAAGCCCGACATTCAAAAACGCGACAGAAAATACAGAGATTTGTAGGAACCAGGCAAATCGTAAGGTAGAATTCTTTAAGCGAATTCCTATCATAATGTCGAAATTTCAGAATGTCGAAATCTCATAATGTCGAAATTCAAAATGCCGATTTTTGCATGGGTTTCGAGGGTTCACCGGGAATATTGGCCACTGTAAATTTCGACATCATGTTTTCGGCATTTTGAAAATCGGTCTCTTTAAGCGTATTTTATAGCAACGCAATAATAAACAAAAAAAAACGCAAAAATCAGCTTTTTTGCTGTCCGATATATTTTTAGACCTTTTTGACGTAAAACGTTAACGGCAAGTCACAAATTTTATGGGCGTGTGGCTGAGGCTTTCGCAAAATTCATGGCCCGAGATCCGCCGCCTCTGGCTACAGTATCCTTGCAACACTGTGTGATTATCGTGGGAATTCGACCATCAAAATTTTTTATATATATAACGCCAGCGCTTTGCAAGAAACGTATCTGAAAATGCGATACCTGCTAGCTGCCCTGCTCCTGGTTACCGTAATCGAGCTTGCGACGGGCTGCACGATTTTTCCTAGGTGCTGGCGGAAGAAAAGAGAGGTGGGAATTTGACTTCGGCGGTCCTTTAAACTGCCTAGCAACGTCAGCCTAAGCCTCAGAGAAGCTTAAGCCTAAACCAAGCCTAAGCTAAGCCTATACCTAACCCTGTGCTTAAGCCTAACCTGAGCTCAAGCTTAAGCGCAGTCTCAGCCAAAGCCTAAGCCTAAGCCCGAGCTTAAGCGAAGCCGAAGCCCGAAGCATGAGTCTAAGCCTAAGCCTAAGCCTAATACTAATTATAAGCCTAGGCCTAACCTAAGCCTAAGCGAAGACCAAGCCTGAGCCTCTACGGAAGCCTAAGCATGAACATAAACCTAAGCCTGACATAAGCCTAGTCCAATCTAAAATGGCACTGAGGCCAAAAGGAGAGGCCGGAAGCCGGGTTGTACCGAGTTGTCGAACGGAATGCCGCTTGTAATCCAAAGCCTATTCATATAATTTTAACATATAAAAATTATAACAGCCATAAAGCTATAACAATTCACTCCTTCCAATTAGCATTCGATCCCGGCATGTACGTCTGATGCGGATTGCCCGCTGCCCGGCCAAGCCTGCTCGTCGATCGACAATGAAGCGGTCTGCACATACCCATGGCTTAAAAGGGTTAGGTTTTACACTTAATTTTTGGTTTTGGGACTGAGGAATCCCATGTTTTTAACATTTCAGAATACAGAAAAATCAAAACCTTCAAAATAAGCAAAAAATCGAAAATCCGACATTTCCAATGTAAAAATTAGGTCTATTTAGAAATTTAAATCATTGAATTTGGAATTTATTTTGTAAATGCGCAATATCGTTATGTCGAAATTTATAATGCCGAGATTTTAAAAAGACTGGATTTAGAATGCCGAAAAATCAAAATGACGAAATTTTATGATATTATTGTATGATGTTATGATTTTGGAAAAGCAAAAAATCGTGTAATCAAAGATCCACAATTTCGCAACGGTAAAATGCCGATTTTCAAAATGCCGACATATTTAAATGTCGAAATATCACAATGTCGAAATACCGTAATGCCAAAATTTTAATCGTGGAATTTTTCAAAATATTAAGGCTACCCGAGGAGCTCTTATTATGCCCAATTCCGGTATTCCAAAATTATGAAAATCAGAATTAGCAATAAGGATTATGCCAGCCGCGTGGGATTTCGCTTGCTAGCCCCTTTAAAATTGCCATTTCAGCTGGTGGCGGCACCTCCTGGAAAGCTGATGTGCCGCAACGACAGCGACTGCCCGAAATCGCATAAATGTGTCCGTGAGGGCCGGTCGAGCCGTT